TCAGGCAATCCACTCACCTCAGCCTCCCAAAGCATGGGATTACAGGCTGAGCCACTGAGCCTGGCTCCAAAACACACACTTTATTCAAATTTATGCTCCTTTTAATCTTCCTGTGTCATCATGATAAAAGAAACTTTTAAAAATAATTCTGTCTAAACTCACATTGTAGTACTACTGGGCATTCTCTGTACCTAAAGAAAACACCATAGGCTATTCTTGTCTGGAATATACAAAGATACAAGTAGGTATCCTAGCAAATGCTGCTCATTTATTGTTGTTCTTATGAGTAAATCATTGGTGCTGAGTGTTGATTTGCTTAATGAAAAGTATGAGTACACACCCTCTTTTGTGGGCAGGTTTTTTGCTTGTTCTTCTTCTGCTTTCTGTTTCACAAGCACTCAGAATCCAAGCAACTGGTTTGCTCTGGCTTGCTGTTCTCTGATGGCTCCTGTGGTTTTATCCAACCCTCTTCCCCTATGTGTGTGTCTGCTGCTGACAACTGGCTTTGCCGAGGCAGGCAGGCTGCTGGTAGTGCCCATGGATGGGAGCCACTGGTTCACCATGCGATCGGTTGTGGAGAAACTCATCCTCAGAGGGCATGAGGTGGTCGTAGTCATGCCAGAGGTGAGTTGGCAACTGGGAAAATCTCTGAATTGCACCGTAAAGACTTATGAAACTTCTTACACTCTGGAAGATTTGGATCGTGAGTTCATGGTTTTTGCCAATGCTCAATGGAAAACTCGAGAAAAAAGTTTATTTTCTATATTAATGAGCTCATCCCATGGTATTTTTGATTTATTTTTTTCAAATTGTAAGAGTTTATTTAATGACAAAAAATTAGTAGAATATTTAAAAGAGAGTTCTTTTGATGCAGTGTTCCTGGATCCCTTTGATATGTGTGGCTTAATTGTTGCCAAGTATTTTTCACTCCCCTCTGTGGTCTTCACCAGAGGAATATTTTGCCATTATCTAGAAGAAGGTGCACAGTGCCCCGTTCCTCTTTCCTATGTTCCCAGAGAAATCTTAGGGTTCTCGGATGCCATGACTTTCAAGGAGAGAGTACGGAATCACATCTTCCACTTGGAGGAACATATATTTTGCCCTTATTTTTTCAAAAAATCCTTAGAAATTGCCTCTGAAATCCTTGAAACACCTGTCACAGCCTATGATCTCTTCAGCCATGCATCCATTTGGTTGTTGCGAACTGACTTTGTTTTGGACTATCCCAAACCTGTGATGCCCAACATGATCTTCATTGGTGGCATCAACTGCAATCAGGGGAAGCCATTGCCTAAGGTAAGTGATCTCTCCTTTAGCACAATAATCTGGCTTTGGATATTAGAAAAGATTCTTTATGGAACTGTCATTCTTTACATTTGTCAAATGTTGAGTTTCTCTCTGGTTTAATGACTATTTTGTGTCAATTCCCTTACTTGTCAATTAGCAGATTTATAAAGCTGCCCTCATTGATATGTATGGATACCCAACTGATAAATTGTAGATAATATCCAGGCTGCATCTTTCAATTTTGTTCATGGAAATGTACCAAAAAATACAGTAAAATATATTTTTGTTGCTATTTTTATGCTACCCTTGACAGGAAAAGGCTCTTAGCAGTTTTGCATGCATTTTTTTCAATTTTTGAAATTATTATAATATATGCATATGTATGATGCAAATTCTCTCATCTATTTTATTAATATCAAATCTAATATCAGGCTGGACATATATTTCTTTATCTTTCACTTGCCAACAAATTATAGACATCTTTAGATGCCAATATATTCAGATTGACATAGTCCTTCAATTATTGCATAGAAGTTTTTACTTCGGCTACACTGTAGCTTTTTCAAACAATCACTACTGATAGAGATTTAGACTTTTTCCTCCTTTTTTATTTTTTTGAGTTGGGGTTTCACTCTATTACCCAGTCTGGAGTGCTATGGAACAATCTTGGCTCACCACAGACTCAACCACCTGGGGTCATGTGATTCTTCTGCCTCAGCCTCCTGTTTAGCTGGGACTACAGTCACTGCCAAGACCATTCACCTGGTAAAGAATAGTCTCTTCAACAGAGGTGCTGGGACAACTGCATTTCCACATGCACAAGGGTGAAGTTAGGGCCTTTCCTCCATATACAAAAATTAACTTGAAATAATACCTAAATATAAAAGCTTCAACTCTAAAACTCTTAGAAGACAACAAATCTTCATGACTTTGAATGTGGAAATGATTTCTTAGACATAATCCCCAAAATACAAGAAACAAAAGGAAAAAAACAGAGAAGCTTCATTTCAAAATGATAAACTTTTATGCATCAAAGTTCACTGTCAAGAGTGTGGAGAGACAGGCCACATAGGCTCCCTCACTAAGGTGTACATATAAATGCACATGTTTGCCATGGAGGCTCCCTCCATGAAGCATCCTATTTTTCTCTTTCCTATGAAACTTCCTGAAGAAGTGAAGTCCAGGTGGATCCTCAACCTACCTCAGCACTTAATATTTATGCAACTCTATGAAACCCCTGGCATCAACATTCAAGTTTGGATTACTGCTGGTTCCCTTTGCCAGCTTCTCTCTTCTTCAGTATACCCTAAAGCATGATACCAAACACTACATACCACCTCTTTGGTTCACTCAGGGTATTCGGATGGTGCCCGTGGCCTGCCACCCCCCACCCACTGGCTATGTAAGTTACCCATAATCTTGCCTTCTCTAGCAGTATTGGTTTCATTTAATGCAACTCTCCATCTCTCTCTCTCTCTCTCTCTCCTGCTCTCGCTCTTGCTCTCACTCCCGGTCTCACTCTTCTGTGACTTTCTCTTCCCTATTCCATTTCTCTTTTCTTCTCCACTTGTGTGTTTCCTTTCTGTCACTTCCTCAGCAGGAACCCTGCCCCAGAGGGGTGAATGAGAAAAGGTATGTGTTTAACAAGATCAGAGGTAGTAAGAACCTCCAAGGTTTCAGTCCTTTCTGTGGGTCCCAGCTTGTCCTTGCTGTTCCTTACTTTGCATTCATCTGTCTTGCCTAAACACCTCCTTTGAAGTCCTTAAGTTCCATCATCAGACTGAGACTGTTTGGAGTGATTGTCCAACTACCTCCCACAATCCCTCTGAGGAATTCTTCACTGTGTGTATCATAGTGATTCTGCTTCTCTGATTGAACTCTAACTGATATGGGTTGGATGCAAGGCTGTGGCAAAATGGTGCCATGTACACTTGTTGACATGAGTACCGGAGGCTGAAGGGATGGGAGCAAGAGGGAGCTCTGACCACCGTCCCATTGGAGTTTCTGTGGGGATGACAAGGCAGGGCAGGGGAAACAGTTTAGAATTGGCTAGTTTGAATAATTTCAGTGGCATTAAACGATAATGGTGTGCCTTCTGCTGTCTCCAACAATTGACTGCCTTGGGAGGGCATTCCATCCCCCAGCCAGAAAGGTTTTTTAAGATGTGTAAATATAATATACAGAAAGTAAAAAATACAAATGATACAGGATACTTTCCCCCCCTCACAGATAGCTACCCAGCAATGGAATAGCTGGACCTTATGGTAGTTGTATGTTTATCTTTCTAAGAAACTGCCAAACAATATCCCTGAGTGGCTGGACCATTGTGCAGACTCGCCAGCAGCCTATGAGAGGTCAGTTCTTCCCCATGCTCACCAGCACTTGGTGTCTTAGTCTGTTTGCATTGCTATAAAAAGGACCTGAGGCTAGGTAATAAATAAAGAAAAGATTTTATTTAGTTCTTGTAGGCAGTACAAGAAGCATGACCCTTATGTCTGCTTTTGATGAGGGACTCAGGCTACTTCCATTCATGGAGTTAGGAGAAGAGGGAAGTTGCTGATCACATGATGAGACAGAAGCAAGAGAGAGAGGAGGTACTAGGGTTCTTTTAAACAATTCTAAGTAGAACTAATAGAATGAGAACTGATCCATTACTGGGCGGGGGTTGGGGAGCCCCAAACTCTTCTAGGGAGTTATCTCCCTCCCTGTGATCCAAATACTTCTCACTAGGCAACACCTCTGACTTTGGGGTTCAAATTTCTTTTTTTTTTTTTTAAATCAATATTTTTTATTATGGTTTTGTGGGGTACAGTTAAGGTTTAGGTGTACAATTACATTTCATTCAGGCACCCTGTTGATAAGAGGTGTTTCCCCAGACAGATATTTGCTACTGTTAATCCCATCCCCCGCCCCCCACATAGTTTCCCAGTACCATCAGTCATTTTCTTATAGTATTACATTGGGTGTTCAAGGTCCATTATATGAGTGAGAACATGTGATACTCGGATCTTTGTTTCTGTGAGAGGTCACTCAGTATTATAGACTCAAGTTCCATCCAGGTTGCTGTGAAATTCATGATTTTGTTCTCTTTTATGGCTGCATAGTATTCCATCGTGTATATGTACCACATTTTTAAAATCCAGTCCTCTTTTGATGGGCAGCATGGTTGTTTCCAGGTTCTTGCTATTGTGAACAACGCTGCAATAAACATACGTGTGCAGGTATCTTTTTTATAGAGTGATTTGAGTTCTTTAGGGTATATTCCCAGTAGGGGGATTGCGGGGTCATATGGGAGGTTGATATTTAGAGCTTTTAGGAATCACCACACTGCTTTCCACAGAGGTTGCACTAGTTTACACTCCCACCAACAGTGTAGAAGTGTTCCCTTTTCGCCACACCCTCTCCAGCAGCTATTATTTTTTGAGTTGTTGATAATTGCCATTCTGACTGGAGTTAGGTGGTATCTCAGTGTGGTTTTGATTTGCATCTCCCTGATGATTAGTGAGGCCGAGCATTTCTTCATGTGTTTGTTGGCTGCTTGGATCTCCTCTTTTGTGAAGTATCTGTTCATACCTTTTGCCCATTTGATAATGGAGTTGTTTGTTTTTTTCTTTTCAGCATGTTTTAGTTCCTTGTAGATCCAGGATGTTAAGCCTTTGTCAGACCTGGTGTTGGCGAATACTTTTTCCCAGTCTGTAGGTTGTCTCCCTGCTCTCCTGATGGTTTCTTTGGCCTTGCAGAAGCTTGTCAGTTTAATAAGGTCCCACTTGTCTATCTTCTCTCTTATGACCTGTGTGTTTCGGGTTTTGTTCAGGAATTGGATGCCAGTTCCGATTTCCATGAGAGTATTTCCTTCATTTTCTAAGGTTCTTATGGTTTGAGGTTTTACATTTAGGTCTCTGATCCTTTTGGAGTTAACCTCTGTGCATGGGGATAGATAGGGGTCCTGTTTCAATCTTCTGCGTGTGGTCAGCCAGTTTTCCCAGCACCATTTACTGAATAGGTTCTCCTCTCCCCAGTGGTAGGTGGTGGAGGCCTTGTTGAAGATGACTTGGTTGAGAAATTGAGGTTTTGCTTCTGGAATCTCAATTCTATTCCATTGATCTATATGCCTGTTCCTGCACCAATACCAAGCTGTTTTGATGATTGTAGCTTTATAGTAAAGTTTGAAGTCTGGTAATGTGATACCACCTGCTTTGTTTTTTTTTTTTTTTGCTGAGGATTGTTCTGGCTATTCTTGGACGTTTGTGTTTCCATATGAATTCCTGTGTTGTCTTTTCTAGTTCTGAGAAGAATGTTGCTGGTAATTTGATGGGTATTGCATTGAATTTGTAGATTGCCTTAGGTAAGATGGACATCTTCACAATGTTGATTCTTCCAATCCATGAGCATGGGATATTTTTCCACTTGTTTGTGTCATCTTTGATTTCTTTGAGCAGTGTTTTGTAATTTTTATTGTATAGGTCTTTCACATCTCTGGTTAGGAAGATGCCAAGGTATTTCATTTTTTTTTTGTGGTTATTGTGAATGGAATTGTGTTTTTTATTTGGGTTTCTGGTTGATTATTATTGGTGTAGAGAAATGCGATTGTCTTTTGTACATTTATTTTGTATCCTGAGACTTTGCCAAAGGCCTTTATCAGTGTAA